TGAAACAATGGAGATCTTGGAGAACACTGGAGCAATCCGCAATTGCTTCTGGCTCCTTGACGCCAATGCGGAGCCGGGCCCAGCCGACGACCAGATCGTGTTCAAATCCGGCCTTCGCGCTTCAGCCAATACCATCCTTTTCAGAGAATGTCTTTGCAAGTTCAGCATGTGCTTACCTTCTACGTCCCAGATCCATCGAGGACCTCGTGACACCTGGACGACACCTGATGGTGAAGCAACCTACTGCATTGACTATGTAGTTGTGCCACAGGATTGGCGCGCACATTGCGCCTGGTCGGAGGTTTTGCAAGACTTTGATCTTGCAACCACGAGACAGGATCATCATGCAGTTGGACTTGAGCTACGCTGGTGGCAAACGTGTGAGGCTGCCGTGACAGCGGCTTCGACTCCACACATTGCGTGGCACCAGGAAGCAATCAAGAAGACCATCCAACAGGATATGAACCAGATCAAGATCCCTACATGGGCGACTGATGTAGAATCTCAAGAACAAGACTTCAGTGCACAAATTGCAACCATTCTGAAACACCAGCGACGCAGTGAACACCAGCCAAAGAAATGCTACATTGATGATGACATCTGGGAGGCAAGAAACCAGATGCTCTCTTCACAAAAAAGCTTGAAACGAGCCAGACATAGACTTGGGCGGGAGTCGCTTTGGCTTACATTCAATGCCTGGAAGACACAGAGTGAGCCATCCTCTCTATGTGAAACTTTTCAATATGGTACGACATTGCGTTGTGGTGCTCTTCGACTTCTTGCAAAACTACGAGCGCAACGAAGACAGCTGCGTTGCAAATTGAAGCATGCCAAAGTTAAACACATGAAGATCAGCCTTGAGCAGATCAACGAGCACACTGCAGCTTCGAGCATCCTGCGCATCTTGAAAAGTTTTACAGGGCCAACGAATCCAAAAAAGCAAAAGAAGGGGACGCTGCCAATGCTTGAAAAGGAGGACGGCGTGATCTGCCAGACACCGGACGAGGCCATGCAAGTCTGGATCAAGTTCTTTGCGGAGATGGAGGGAGGCACGCGCCAATCTTTCGATGAACTACATGCTGATTGGTTGGAGGCTCTGAAGAAAGAACAGACTGAACCCTTTCAACTGAAGGTGACGGAACTTCCTACGCTTGCAGACCTTGAGCTGGCATACAGAAGAGTAGCTCCTGGAAAAGCCATTGGGCCCGACAGAGTGCCAGGGGAACTATGCCATCTTGCCCCAGCAGCCTGTACAAGAGCGACATACTCGTCTCTCTGGAAACTCCTTCTGTTCGGTCATGAAGCCTTGACATACAAAGGAGGCCTACTTGTACAAGCGTACAAAGGCAAGGGACCGACCACCAAATGCAGCTCATACAGGTCCTTGCTGATTTCCAGCCATATAGGCAAATCCCTACATCGAGCCATGCGTTGTTCTCAAGCCCACATCTTTGAAGGCTTCTTACAGGCGCAACAACTCGGAGGGAGACGAGCGATGCCAGTCACGTATGGAGTTCATCTGGCACGCGCTTTCCATAGGCAAGCACGTCATCATGGACACTCTTGCGCGCTGATCATGCTCGACCTGAAAGAAGCTTTCTACAGGATTTTCCGCCCCATTTGCATGGAAGGCAAGGTCACTGACCAGGCCATCGCCCAATTGATGCAACGCCTGCAGATGCCTCCGGAGGTGATGATTGACTTACACCGTCTCCTACGCGATCCTTGTGCGCTGGAGCAAGCAGGCATGACACCACAGCAACGAAGAAGCATACGAGCTGTGCACTCCCAGACGTTCTTCTGGATGTACCGTCAACATGATGTTGTGCAAACTTCACATGGCTCCCGGCCGGGGGACCCCTTCGCTGACGTGATTTTCAGTTACGTCTGGGCGGTTGTTTTGAAGAAGCTGCAAGCATTCATGCAACAGCAGAACATTGCCAGTGAATTTCCGCAGCGTCCTTCACTCATGCTTTTTGAAGATGATCCCCCACCAGCTGATGGACGTGTACCGTTTATTGGCCCAACATGGATGGATGATTTGTGTGTTTGCGTGGAAGGAGGCACTCCGGCACAAACCATTCAGAGAACGACACTGGCTACAGGCCGTTTACTTGAACTATGCATGGAGCATTGCATGACTCCGAACTTGCAGCCGAACAAGACGGAGATCCTGTTCTCCCTTCGTGGTGAGGCTTCGAGAAAGCATAAGAAGGAGCTCTACGGTCCACAAGCACCAGGGAGTCTCCCCATTGTATGCGAATATGGAACATTCCATGTCTCCGTGGCATCGCGCTATTGTCACCTCGGAGGACTATTGCACCATGTTGCTGACCAGCAAGCTGAGGTTAGAAGAAGGGTTGCCATTGCCAATGCGGCCATGACGCAGCACTCCAAGTTAGTCTTCCGGAATTGGGCAATTCCTCTTGCCAAGAGGACCCAGCTGTTCGAAGCTCCAATTTTGAGTAAAATGCTGTATGGGGCGGACACATGGATTGTGACCGATGAGAAGACAGAGAAATATTTCCATGCGGCCACCATCAGACTCTATCGCAGACTCCTCCCAACTTCTCATGACCAGCATTTACAAGACCTTGAAGTGCTGGCCACTGTGAAGCTTCCCAGTCCAGTTGAGCTACTTCGTAGAGCCAGATTGCGCTATGTGGCAACTTTGCTCCATAGCGGACAGCGAACGGAATGGGGATTGCTGGAGAACGACAGACAATGGATCTCTCTGGTGGAAGAAGACATGCAATGGCTGTGGACGCAACTCAAGAATTGCTCCAACCTTGGCCAGCCCCACGAGCACTGGGCGGCCTGGAAGAACCTGATTCTGCACCACCGGACGTACTGGCGCAAATTGGTTCGTGTGCCTGTGAACATGCTATTCTCCAGAGGAACAACGAATGGCACCTTCTACACTTCCACTCGATCGCCCTGAAGCAGCTCAGAAGCACTTTTGGGTATGAATCACATGATGCCGAAGAAAACCAGGAGGCTACGGAGACGTTTGGCTGCCTCATCTGCGGCAAGCGATGCCGATCACTTGCGGGCGAAGCCGCCCACATGTTCAAAGTGCACCAGCAACAGGCGCGCCGCAGACGACTGGTTGATACCACAGGTTGCCCAGCATGTCTTAAAGAATATCACACCATGGAGAAAGTGACGGCGCATCTATACTATTCGAGCCGATGCAGAACCATTTTGCAGAGCCGGAACTATGTATGTGCGTCCGAGCCAGGGACAGGGTCCACAAAGGACAAACAGCTCAAGGAGCATCATGATCGCCTTCTACCCCCGCTTCGACAGGAAGGACCACAACAACCACTTCCCAGACTTCGGCAAGATCCTGGGATTGATGATGATCTCCATTTGGCCATCATGGAGATTTGCATCGACGCCCTGACGATTGAGGACGCAATGCACCAGATCCAACAAGTGGCGCAAGAAAGAGCTATTTCTTGGACTACATGGACACGCACCCTGCTCTTCTTCGAGGACTCGTTGCGGGACAGTGACGTCGAGCATTGGGCGGTCACGCTAATCCAGGTGAAGCAAGAGCTGCAAACCTTGCGACAGCCTGCCAGGTGGGGCCTGGAGAGTCCGGCTATCAAGACAGCAAGGACAAGAGAGATGCTAGAAAGAGAATGCCATGACTTCGCTGTGACTGATTGGAGTGCACACGGTGGCCCTCCCAGATCATTTGGACACCATAGGGTTTTCCTTCATCTTTTTGCTGGTCGAAGACGCCGTGGAGACATTCAATTCTATCTTGATCACATGTCACCCCCACACAACTATGTTCTGCACGTCGTCAGCGTTGACATCGTGATTGACAAGGTTTGGGGGGATGCAACAGCAGAGCAGACAAGAGCATACTGGCTTGGTTTGGCCCACCAGGGCTTCTTTGTCGGCTTCCTAGCTGGTCCACCTTGCGAAACATGGTCGAGAGCGCGTGGCAAGACAGTGAAAGGGCTACAATCTGACAGATGTGCCCCGCGCATCATCAGAACAGAGGACCACCTGTGGGGACTGCCCAGCTTAGCGTTGAAGGAGCTGATGCAGATCGCCACAGGGAATGAGCTTCTGACCTTCACATTGCTTCTAGCATGTATGATGCTTCAGACTGGTGGAATCGGTATAGTTTAGCACCCAGCAGAACCTTTGGAAGAGAATGCGGCTGCGATATGGAAGCTTCCAATCGTCCGGGCGCTCCTTGCTGCACCAGGCGTGACAAGACGAAGATTGGCGCAGGGGCTTTTTGGAGCCCCTTCGCCGAAGCCCACAGACCTTTTGGTAGTAAACCTCCCGGACCTTGCACTGGAGTTGCGGAAGTGGATGACGCGCTCGGAGCTGCCCAGAGGGAAAGCAATAGGTTTGGACCAAAAAGGTCAGTGGCGGACTGGTGTCCTTAAGGAGTATCCACCCGCTTTTTGTGGGGCACTTGCCTCTGCAATTCGCAAGGGCATTGACAGTTATGAAGTGATTGAACAAGCTCCCCCTTCGCAGGAACACATTGAGAGGTGGAAGGCCATGAATTTGGCCAGGTACAGCGACCACCTGGGCACAGACTTTGCGAAGTAGGGACATTCACTTCTGAATTCGTTTCCAAAGCACCGGTCGCAGCGTAAAGCAACAATGGACCGTGGGAACAAAAAAAATATATAATATACTGTATCTCTATATATATACAGCATTTATATATATATATATATATACAGCATATATATATAGAATTGTGGATATATTATGTATATGGATAAGTTACACCGGCCAATACACAGTGGTTGCTAACTCTCTGGCCAGGTTTTTGGAACTTGTTCACCCTGGCCAGCCTTGGTGCATTTCTGTCAGATTTGACCCCTCAAATCGACTTCTCCCAAGAAAATCTAGGAAAATTATGGAAAATTATGGAAAATCTAGGAAAATAATGGAAAATGATGGAAAACTCCCAAGACTGGTAGTTCTTTTGAATGCTTTTCTGCAGATGTTTGGGGGTATCACATTGCAAGTGGGTCATCATCCTCTTGCTCCAAAAAAAATGGGTCATCTCCAAGGGACACCGGATGCCGGAGCAAACTCTTGCCGTGGTCCGTGTCCGCGTGCCAACCGATGTTGGTGGACGCCACCTAGCGGCTAAGAGTCCATGCAATTCATGGACTTATGAATGGAAAGTGATCATAGAATGCCCCATGGTTTTGGTCATCCATTCTTAGCTATACAGTTTTAACCTACGAATCACGATAATTGTGTTGATTTTGTTTTCGTAGATTCAGCTATGGAATAAATATTACATACAGTAATATGACATGGCCTGCCGATGATCAACACTTCATCGTGTTTCTTATCCCAGAATATATCCTGATTCACAGTCACGTGATACAAACCATCCCCAACAATGGTTGAATGACCTTGAATTCAACAAGAAAAGGTGTTCTGCCAATTTCTTACAGTTGACTGTGTACAGTCGCCTGACAGGAAATGTTAAAATTTAAAATGTTTAACTGGCATCAACTGAATATGGTATCATATCATGGGATTTCTGCAAATGATCTTTGGATATCTTTGGTTGTTCAGAGTTTCCATCATCAAAATCAGCCGGATTTCCCCGGATTTCCCAGCTGCATCCAGCTGCCAGGAGGGTTGGGCAGTGGCACCAGCCATGGTTCAGCGGGAATATGGTGGAACCGTCCACCGCACCATGGTGCCATGGAGAACATGGGATTCGGATGGGGTTAAAGGGGGCCTTTTTGGAGGGGATTTCGGATTTCCCTGGAAAAAATGAGGCCTTGGATTGATGTAATATGATGTAATTATCGGATAATACAACTTAATAGAACCAACATATAATAATCACCTATATAATCAAAAAAACATCAAACATATAACCTTTTATATCCTTTTATAACACAACTTAATACAACCCCCAAACTAATCATCAACCAACAGGGGTTTTGCAGCTTTTCGGGATCTTCTTGGGGACGGCTAGAAGATTCCTGGTGAAGTCATTAAACACAAGCATCACCGGCCCAAATAAAGAAATATAGGGTGGATATGGGTGGATTGTCCCGTTCTTTTGTGTCCATCGTTTTTTTGGCTAAACACCAATACACATGAAACGTTCTGATCCATATCATGCAGTTGATTGCTTGTAATCAAACGTGGTTTGCTTGGAAATTCACATGGCAAATGGAGGTTTTGCCGCAAACATCAACGATCAACGGGAATTCTCCAGCAAGCCACCGAAAAAAAAGTACCGGAAAATTTTCTGATCTTAAAGACAAATACTTGGCTTCTTGGATGATAAGTTTTTTTTTGAGCTTTCATGTATTTGATTTGTATAATTACCCCATAAATGCCATAATCATCAACAACTTCTGAGAGAAATCAAGGCACCTTCATCCATTTGTACTTGTCACAGGGCGCCAGCTTGGACCGTGTGTGTTTCTGCCGGACCCGATGGATGGTGTCATTGGAGTTGAATTCCTCAGCCAAACTTGGAGAAATGGCTTGCAGGTTTTGAACACCATGTTTTTTACATGTTGCCTTTCCTTTGCATCTTCTAAATATCACAGAAACTTGGATGATGATTCTAAGGATCTTCGGAAATTTCAGAACTTTACGAGGAATGGGAGGTTTATCTTCAAGTCTCCAGGTTCTCAATCACAAGACCCATTGAGCTATTCAGCTGGCGTAAAACAGGGTGACATTGTTGAAGGCGAAGCAACCATCAGAAAGCAGCCGAGTTAGCTGATAATCTGATGCTATCTGTCATGGTCATTCAGCAGCTCAAGGGAACGTTGGATCTGCCCTTCAAAATGGATTCAGAGCTGTTCTGTCCTGTTGCAATAACCTTCAGGTGTAATCATCGTGAACTAGATAGAGTATAGTTTTTTTCAAAGATGGATTTCTTGTGATTATTTTCATATACATGTGTATATATATATATATAGTACTAATGAATATAACGCATATCTTACAATTTGGTTTTACTCTTTTCGATCTTCTCCAGGATCCGTACACAGTGCTACATCATTCATAGTCTTGCCATGGCATCATGTCAGCCCCCTTATGAATAGAATGACCTGGTGCGGCGAAATCCTGGGTCAACATTGAATATACTTATCTCAAGGGTTTATGGTAGAGAATGGTGTATATATATATATATGTTTATGTATTATTATATATAATTATGTATATATATATAGATTTATATTATCAATAGTCAGTGGATATCTTTTAAACATGAAAACCTCATAAAACCTCCATAGTTCATGTTGGTTTCCACCGTAGAAAACCTCAACGTTTCCCCACACTCCAAGCGTCCACTGCTTCGGGCCCAGCCGCCTGAGAAATCCCAAGAATTCGGGGATGTTTTATAGGGAAAATAGAGGTTTCACCTTTGAACATATGGAAAACATAACAAACAAATCGGACAAAATAGAGGTTTCACCATGAACTTTTGGGAAGCATAGAGGTTTTACCCATCAAAAATAGGTATCTTATTATCATTATTATTGGATTTTAAGGGACAATTTACAAAAAAAAAAAACTATATCTGTCAGGATAAACCATAGTTTTGCGGCAAAGATTTCCTTTAAATCCATCGGGACCGGGTACCATGATATTTGGGTGTGCTGGTGAGACATGGGAGAATTCAAACCATTGGGATACCCACAGGGGTGTTGTCTTGTAATGTGTGCTTTGTATCACTATATTGCACTGTATGTGCACATATTATCTATGAAGAGATGATCATCAGCAGTACTTATGGACCTCAAAAATATATCATATACAGCCATATGTTTGTGAATGTTGATAAGGCATATATATATATATATATCCAAAAACATATCTTGATATATCGAGTAATGACCATGAACATGAACAACTAACAACATCTGGGTCAAACTTCGATACTGTGGTGATTGCCAGGGGAGCCTTAAATCTACCGATGAATCATCATTTTGCCAATCCAAAGTGCAGTTGTGCGGTGGCAACTACCTTCTGGTAAACTAACAATCATAACTATTGAAAATGGCCCAGTCGAAATAATTGATTTATATACCCATTAAAAACGGTGATGTTCCATAGTTCTGCAAACGTTTACCAGAGGACATACCCTACGTTAATCCCAAGTGTTGTTCCTATTGGATGACTGTCACCGCGCCTCGCAGTGAGATTGATAGGACTCTGAGGTGGAATTCTGCAACACGAAGTTGCCTGGCGGCTATGGAAAATTCCCATGTTTCATTCATATGGAGATTTCCTGAAATGGGGGGGTACCCCTAAATTATCAATTTTAAAAGGATTTTCCAGTGTAAACAAACCATTTTGGGTATCCCTATTTTAGGAAACCTCCATATGAACAGTAGAAGTGGCCATTTTCACTAGCCAAACCAGCTCTATACCTTCTGGAAAACTCACCTGGCTGGATTTGTTGACCATTTTTGTGTGATAAACATGGACATTTGGAAATTCATCTGTATCTAAATGGCCGTGAATGAGGGGTTTCTGTCCTCAGAGGAAACAGCATCATGGAAACAATTTCGCCCCCTAATAGGGACGGTTCCTAAACTTGGACGAGCAAAGTCCAAGCATTGCTGGTGTACTCAGCCGCATTTCATGTTCGACAGCCCCCCACCCCGTGCAAGGAAGTTTCACATTCCGCCGGGACTTCCGTAAGAAAGGATGCATTTTAGTTTGCAAATTAGGGTCAGGGAATTCCTCAAGAAGCAAATCCCCTTGAAGCACTGCATTCGTTCTCCCTCGGGGCGCAGCAACATCGTGGTCATCAAAAAGGTTTCATTTCAGTCTCCACGAAACATCTCGTGAAACTGCAAGCTCAATAAGCCCTAAGAGATAGAAGAGTAATGCCTATTTAGTAGCATTTTTGTTGTTCAATCTTTTAGGCGGTTTCTGAGAAAGACAATCTGATTTCCTCCAAGATCCATGATCCGTTTGTTGCACTTGGCAGTGCCACAATTTTAATGACACCCTTCATTTGTCAACCAGGAATTTCCTTATCTGATATATGTATATAATTGTACATATATATATATATACACAATTATAAACTACATTTATATAGTAATTATAGATAATATTAGATTATATAGATAGATATACTGCAAGCACAATTAATTACATGATTACATGATATGTAATGTATATAATAGATCATAAATCATATGATCATTCTATATACGTGTGTTTCTTTGCGAGGCCCTGCTTCAAGCCACATCCCCGGTCGGCTTCCAGTGCCTAGTTTCCGCCTCGCCCACACCTGCGGTATGATTTTTGGGCACCGGCCAATGATCACATGGTTCGTTGTGGGCATGGGTCACAAAATTGGTGCATCCAAAAATTGATGTTGAATGATGTTTAATTCCAAATAATGATGTTGAATCGATGTTAAGCAACCCAACAATGGATGTTGAATGGATGTTTCATACTAAAGATATGAAACTAATTGGTGTACAGTACCCATACTAGACATACTTGATTGCGGAAACACCATGAAATATACTTACATCCTCACAGGCAGGTATTTTTGTTTAAAGCAACTATAACTATAACATACTATAACTATATTGATTGCAACACGCGGACACTTGTAATGTTTAACCAACCATTGATGGTTTGCATTATTTAGCTCTGGACCTCGCTGATCCAATGATGTTTTTTGTACCAGGGGCACATCCATGTACGAGCGATTTAACTATCTATTTGTAATGTTCACCAGGGGATATATATATATATATATAGTGCGTATAAATATATATATACATAATACTTATACACATTAGCTAGAGTATGTTATGTATACCTGCCAAGCAAAGTATCTTTTCCAGCACCACCCACATCCAGCATCTTTTTGGGTCCCGGGAAAATACCACCGCTGATTCGCTGTAGCGGCTGACCTCTTTCATTGTCATGTTGTTCATGGCGCAACCACTCCTGAGGGCAGCAAAGGATCCAAAGAATTGGTCCTTCTTTA